TCATTTTCACATACAAACGGAGCATTCTGGTGCATTCGGACAAAATAATAGATAAAAGTTAACATTCTCTCCCTGTGTCTGTATGTGTGTTTGTGAGAAAGTGAGAGAGAGAGACAGAGAGAGGGAATGTGATTTTAAAATGGGTGAGTGTGTTACGGCCAATCTATTGTCTTGGTAACTTTACTCATAAATCTATCTACAGCCAAATACGATAAAATACCAATATAATGTGCGCAACCTTTTATGTGTGGTTGTTCAAGACACACTGAAGGCATGATGCCACCATAGGTTTGCAGAGAACTACATATAATATGCACACTGAAGGCATGATGCCACCATAGGTTTGCAGAGAACTACATACAATATGCACACTTGAAAGGGGTGGGGTGGTGGTGTGCGGTTGTGAGGGCTGCTGTAACCAGTGTCCATCCTCACTGGAAGACCCACCAGAGACCCACATTGGACTAATACCCTTTGAAAAGGACTGATTTGTTGAGTTTCTGTCGCATGTTGTTGCTTTGTAAGCTAAGTGTAGTCAATTTCGCTATGTGGTGTAGCCTTAGCTTAAAAAACAGGGAAACAACTAATGTCAACAGTGTATGGTGGTGGCTGTCTATGCCATACTGTGTTTCACTGATGTGCTCCCCGAGCGCAAACACATCCTCTGACCCGATCAAGGCATTACTCTTCTCCCGCTGCAGTTTGCAATTTGGCCTTTATAGCCTTAGGGGAAGCAGGCAATGCATACAAGTGCTCAGTGGCCTGCAGCTTGCGCTCCCGCTTGTGCCTCAACCTCCTCACTCTCCTCTCTGCAGTTGCTCCCTGTTGTATTGGCAAAATAATAATAACTTTTTTTTCCAAGAATTCGATCTTCAATTCAATCTCAATTCTGCGAGCCTGAATACATTTTTGGGTTCTACAGTTCTTCAACAGACAACACAACAGCATACTTTTAAGAAATTGTATAGGCTTCTCCACTTGTAAGGCAAAAATATGTGTTGTGGCTCTGGACACAAAATGTAAAGGTTGTCTACCCCTGGGTGTAGTTTCGATGTTCACAAATGTTTATTCATTCTAGTGTAGGAATGACAGAGAAAGTGAGATAGCCAGTAGTTTTCAAACTTTTTTTTAACAGAGTACCACCTCAAATAATACTGGGCTCATAGACTACTAACACCATCATAGACCTTTCTGGGTACCACCAAGATAAAGGATTTAATATTACAAGTTATACTACGGGACCATTGAATGCTTGAATCTGATTGGCTGACGAACGTTCTGAGGTGTGCAATTATTTTCAGGGAAACGCACGGCGAACGTAGTTCCAGGCAGCTCTCTTGACCGCATTACAGTTCCATATCACTTCGCATAGTTAACTGTAATAACGGGAATTAGCATACAGTACCTATACAGCACACAGGACTAACAAAAACAACAACATGAC